TGTTTTTCATTTGAGAAAAAGGTAAAGATTACCAGAGGGGAAATTTGCATTGGCATTAAATATATATCATTGTGGTCACGACATATAGACCTCAAATGAAAAGAAAAAAGACAAAAAATGGATGAAATGGATCAAAAAAGGGATGGACGAATTAGCGTCTCATTATCCTAACATGAATCCAGTCAGCACATGTGTCGATTAAAATAAGAGGTATTAATGAATATGACAATAAATATGTGTGACGATTTGGACATACTGACATAATGACTGTACATTTATTTTTTATAGTAAGTATGTGTAATGTTGTTCAGCATCAAGCCAAGCGTGTCCCTAAAAAATAAATAACAATATTTCATTTAATTTCAAAAGAAATTGGAAAACTCTTCTGCATCACTTCCCCATCTTTTAATGTGTAAGCTTAGTTTATTTAAATATTTTAAAAGGTTTAAGGGATTTTGCAATTGTTTTACTACACACACTCAGAAGATTTAAATACAATTTGGGACTTTTTTTCTTTCTGAAAATGTTAAAGCTGTGTTAATAGGCCATAATTAAACTGATTATTAAAACAATCCTTAGCCTTCAGTCACATGCATTTCTTTAAAGCTGCAGTAGGCTATTGAAGAATAACATTTTCCTGTAAAGGGATTTTTATAGCAAAATATTACCTGCTACTGTTCTCAGAGGGCTGCTACTGTTGTCGATAATGCCTTCCTCTTCAATCCATCATCTGCAAAATAAACACAGGCCACCCCCACCTGTGTCTGTCTGAGAGGGGTGAGGGCCCGTTAACCTGCGCTCACAGGCCACCGGTGAGGGCTGCAGACTCCCCGCCTCTCTGTTTAGATTATTTCCACGGAGGCGGGTGACTCTCTTGTGTCACTGATAAGAGCGCAGTAGGGTGGTGGCAAGAGGGTCAAACCACAAGGGGAATAGAAACTGAGGAAAACAGCGAAAAAAAAAAATCTTTATCCCCTAGAAAAAGTAGTTTTCCCCAAAACTTCTTCACCATGGCGCAAGGCTATTACACTGATAGAAATTCTTCTCCCTCCTCGACAGTCTGGCCCTGAGTACGCAAGGGGCCAGAGTCTTAGCCACATCTCAAGCTAATTTACAAAGATCCCGAATTATTCTCTTATCTTGGGCTTTAAAGGTTGTAAGGTTGATTAACAAGGCTCTGTCCTGTTTATCAGTTTGGGGCTTGGTGTGGAAAATAGCCTGCGATAAGTGCACAGACCATTAAACATTCTATTTCCCCTAATATTTGTCGGCAACCATCTGCTTAACTGATCTCCCTTCACTTTAATTAAAAGGGATTCCCGTCTTGTTGGGGTCATTATGTGCTGGCGGACGCCAGGAGAGGGGTTTGTGATGAGTTCAGCGTTCCCTCTGTCCCTGGGTTGCCAGAGGGCTTTTTTTCATCCTCCCTTCCAGCCTCTTCAGAGTTAACCCCTTCCTGTCCTGCTGCACTTCCACCTTGTTTTGCAGCGGGTGAAATAAACTAAAGAGTTAGTAAGTCCAACCATTTCTAAAAGAGATGCAGTGTGTGCTGGTGCAAACTTTTCTCTTCACTAGGGCAGTGTGTAGATATTCACACTATCTCCCCCAACTCCGGGGCATGAGACTCTGGCTGTAATGGTTTGATTTGCCCAACACTAGTTGGATCGATGCGGCTGTTTACAGTTTCTCCCTCTCTCATCCCTTTTGTCTTTTTTCTAATTTAGTGTTCCCAAACCATGGACAGGGGTCTGAGTCTGTCTGCTGTGCTTGCATCTTTGCCCTCCTCCCCACTCTCCATCACTGTCCATTGATGTTTTTCCCCTCTCTTTCTTTCCTCCTCTTCCTCTCTCCTTCCTTGGTTGGTCTTGGAAAAAGAGCTGCATGCCTCCACACTTCTGGACAAGACTGATGGCTCGTCAATAGCATTAGCCAGCATTGCAGGCCTCACTGGTGTAGAACCAAATCAATATGGCCCAGTAAAAAGTCTTATATGTGTATGCGGTCCATCCCAGCCAAGGCTCATGTTACCACAGATGAGTTTTTATAAGAATTCAGAAGTGACCATCTATTTTATTCCATTTAATCCCACATTTTCTCAGCAATGCACGAACATGCTGCTGCTCAGTGTCAACCATCTCTTTTATTATAATGATGTATTTCACCCAAAAAAAGATGAATGCCTCTGTTCATTGTTACAATAAATGTGGATATTTAAATGTAGAAGCTTGAGGATAAAGCTCTGAATTATAAAATCTTTCTGCTCTTTCCCCTAAAATCTGGTAATTTACCTTCTAATTATAGTGTGCAATTACAATCAATTTGTCCTCAATGAAAATTGATTTTTGCTTTCAGTGTCGTGGCGCTGGTGGATAGTGTGTGGGTATATTTCTGTGAGAGTGTCAGAAACACTTTTGTTGGACATAGATTTCACTTGTGGGAAGAAGCAAAAATCTAGCTTTCCTATTTTTGCTTTTCTTAAAGACCCTCAATATTCACCAATCACAGAATATTTTATACAGAAACACATACTGATCTTCCTCAGCCTTCAGAAATTCACACAGTTATTGCAGAGTGTTGCAGTTTCTGGTCATTTTCACATGCCCTTCACTGACCGATATCTACTATTGATACGGCTTATAAAAATACATTATTTCAGAAGGTGAAGTGTTGCTCAATAAATTAGCCAACTATGTGAGTGTTACATCTTAAGGAGTCCTTCCCTAGCAGCTGCTTCGCTTCCTTTCTGCAGACTTGTTGTTATGCAATCCAATACCTTTTAATTTGCTTTAAATCACATAGACAATAAATGTTAAGCAGCTGACTGGTCCATTGTTTTTAATCTTATTTTAAATATTTCCTTTAATTGTAACTATTTGGAAAAGTCAGGAATGGTTGATAGTGCCGAGCTTCGTTTTAACTAGCAGTGTCTCGCCAGAACAGTATCAGTCTTCAGATACTGCACCTAAAATGGATAGCAAGTCTTTTGTCTTTATTTACCTAATAGCCTTAGCTAACATCTGTAGAAACTGTCTATTGCTCTGCTTGCTCTGACAATGACAGCAGTCACTTTGCACACTGACGGTTTTCTGTGGTTTACAGTCTTATATAGTGGTTTATCTGTGTCATGGTGTTAACATTATGAATTTACAGCTTGATTCTTATTCAGCCACCTATTGCAGGACATTGTTGTCTCTGGTTCTTTCTGACTGCAATGTCTTGAAAAGATATCCAAGACTGTTAAACTGCAGATTGAACAGTACATACATGTGCAACCGAAACACTTTGCGGTCCCTTTTGACTTCCTTTGAATAAACCTTGGCTAGTCGCTTACATTTTACGGCTATTTGTGGCTGAGAGCCGTGTCCTTTTTATGTGTCCTATACTGTACTTGACCATAAATGTGAAGGTGACTGAGGTAGTGATTTGTCTTCTTTCTCTAACAGTTACTGGCTTGCACAGGTTTATACTGCTATAATAATAATAATGTTATAATAATATCTAATATCTAATTATAAATCAACCATACTTAACTCTGTTGAAATGTCAATCCCATTTGGTTAGTCGCATCGGAAACCTATTTCTGATAACATTTCAACTCAAGACATTGTTGACTGACACTGGCTCTTCTCTTCTCTGAAGGTCAGGCAGATGGACGGATGGACATCCTTGCGCTGTCAACGTCTCCACTCGACCCCCCCCCCAGTACCCCCCTTTCCAGTTCAGACACAGCACAAGCTTCCCTGTCTGTCTGTGTGTCTGTGTGTCTGTCCTGAGTTCTCCTACAGCTTTAGCTCCGCTTCTCAAAGGTCAGCGACGCCATGCGTTGTCAGATTCACCAATCGATACGTGCCACACCGTCAGAACNAACTCCCCTGTGGGAGATCGTGGCCAAGAAAGGAAGTGTGTTTTTGTGTGTGTGTGTTTAAGATGGTTGAGGGTATCTGTGAAAAGTGGGGGGTGTATCTTTTACTAACCCTGCATATAATCAATACCATCCAGAGCTATTATTCTGAACTTGTGTGTGTGTGTGTGTGTGTGTGTGTGTGTGTGTGTGTGTGTGTGTGTGTGTGTGTGTGTGTGTGTGTGTGTGTGTGTGTGTGTGTGTGTGTGTGTGTAGTTATCAACAATGACAGGGGATCAAGGAACTGGTGTGTGACAAAGAGGAATGGTGTCTAATTCAAGGTCAATATGGCCAGTGTCACTCCTTCACTTTCACCGAGGGGAGGGGTGGGGGGGCATTATGTTCCTGTTGGTTACCAGAGCAAACATGACATCCCTGCTGGAGCTCATATCAATTTGTAATTTGAGCCCCAGTCAAAGCAAATGATGTCAGCACAGGTCGCTTTTTCCAAATGACCCTGCATTTGTCTGTTGTCGTTGTCAATTTTGGTCTTCACTGTCAGAGTTGTTTTGTTAAGCAGTTTTTTTCTGTTTGGCTAATATTCATAAATGTTAATAATTTTCATTTCATGTGGTGCGTAAACAAAAATATTGATGGTTTGCTAGTGGTCAAAGCTTTCATAAGAGGGATACAAAAAGCTGTTTTATTTCTGTATATTAAGTGCAATTTCATTTTCTATGCATTATTCTTTGAAACGTAGTTCATTCACAAGGGCATTTAATTTAATTTCAGCATACTGTATGATCAGACAAGGTGCTGTATGTCCTTTGTCTCCCTCCTCCAGTGTGACCATCTTACTAATTTGCTAAGACCAGCAGCACCTTCTCCTCATGCCAGTACATCTTTTAATAACTCTATTAATCTAATCGTCCACTAATTGGTCAAGATAGCCTTTTCCCCAGTGATTTTTATCATGGAGCAATTAAGAGCCCAGTAAAACCTGCTGAAATCACAGTGTCTTGTTAAAACGGCTTGATTGACACATTGTTTCGGGGCTCTGCACTTTTCATTCTACATGATAGAAAAGGTTATTATTATTATTATAAGCTACTTTTATACAATTAAGAATTTGTAGAAAAACACAATGACAACTTGCCAGTGACTGATAAATCTTTAATATAAAAATTGTACAAGAATTCTGATACAAATTACAAGAGGTATTTGGACAAAATATGAATACAATTCCATTTACATCCCAAAACCCTTATGCATTTTATGCAAAAACCATAGACAGTTATGATACAGAAACAAATACAAGAAAGGCAAAAAAAGAAAGAAAAGAAAGAAGTCTTTTTAAAAAGAGGACCATTTTTCTCCTCCTCACTGCAAATGGGAAACACCTGTTTAGGTAACATACAGTATTCATGAGGCTTCCAAATCACCCTTTTGACACCAAAGTAACGTAAGCTCCTCTGCTCTGTTCGTTGTTTGCAGTGCGACGATGTAGCCATGCAACGCTGTCGAGTGCCCGTGCCAGAACACAGGCTTTTTAAAGAAACAAATGCATTTGATACAGAAAAAAGTGAAATAAAAAAAATCGAAATCCACCAGCTCTTCAAGCTTATTTATATTTAAGACTGTAAAATATAATTGGCACAATGGAAAACATGAAATGAATTAATTCTTGACATTTCACAGGTTCCAGTTCAAATTAACGAGGGTCTTTTCCGAGAACACAACACATGAGACTGAAGCATCTATCCAAATATGTGTGTATTTTTCTACTATCTGCATATTTCTTATAGTGTCCTTTTAAACATTTGAATCCCACTTTGTTCCATGAGCTACATTAACACGACATGTGGCGTCCCCTCTCATCCACGATGTGAAGTGAACAGAACGGACAGTGATTAACAGGTCAGCCGTTTGCCATGCCCTTCTCCCCGTGTGCTATGTAGAATTACAGAATAATTGATGCCTGACGCTCCTCTAATCAAATATTAAAGATTCACTCCAGTGGTCTCAGCCAACGAGGCGCTCTAAGTGACGTGTTCCTGCGGATCCACAGCCCGGTCACTAGGTAGCAGAAAGCACCTGGGCCCATGTGGTTGGGGAAGTAAAGGAGGGAGACAAAGATTGGATAGGGGGGCCTTTCTCAGATGAGAGGGGGAAATTGGTGGTCATTTCTCAGAGGAGAGGAAAGTGTAGGGGGAGAGGGGTGGAGATGTGAGGGGTGGAGATCGCTCTCCAGCAGGCAATCTAGAAAAAGCTGGCGAAGACTCCCGGGGAGTCCTGGCCCCGCTGCTCGCTCCTCTCTTTCTCCCCTTCCTTGTTAAGTGACTGCCGCGAGGCTACTGCTAGACCACTTTCTAAGCCCACTCCCTTTACGCCGTCTCTCCTGTCTGTTTCCCTGGCGATGCCGGACAGTGGTTTGTTTTTCAGATCTGTTGCCAGCCTTTTGCCGCTCTGAGCTTTGCAGCTTGGCATCACCATCACCATGCAGGACTCAGAAGGAGCCCGTAGGAGGTGGGAGAAGGGTGTCGTTGAGGGAATATCTTGCCTGTCTTGCCTGGCACACACAAGTACATACATGTAGACAGAGGTCATGCACTGCGGCTGCTGCTTGAGAAATAGACTGCGAGGAATAGGGCAGAAGTGTAGTGGAAAATGTGTTTTTGTCAGATCAAGAAACTGAGGTTATTTGGGCCGAGCACATTTATCTTAAGTGTACCTTTGTTGGATATGTACAGCTCAAATAATTCTACAAAGTTAAAATCAATCTGGATCTTTTTTTCTCAATCAAACCGTTTTGGTAAAATGTCTCAATTGTCAGCTGTTGGAAATGTAAAATGAAATAATAATAAGAGCTTTGGATTTTCCATGCCTGACTGCTAGCCCCCATCATTCTCCATAATGGAGTATTAGCCTTCTATGTAGTGGCAGCAGCTATAATGTTAATGCTTGATGGAGAGTTTAATTTCCTGTGGTGAGAACACACTCTATATTTCTCTGACCCTGTCTCCTCCATCACTAGAGGTTAACAAGTCATCTCGTTCTTGTCATCTTTCTGGCCTGTAAGTAGAAAGCATATGTGTGTGTGCGCCACTCTCCTCTGTGTGCATGTGTGTGTGTTTTAGTATGGTTGTGTGTTAGAGAGACAGCTGTCAGCAGGGTTCCTCGAATAGCACTTTTTTATTTCTGCCAGAGCGAGGGCCGGGGGGATTGAGTGAGTGAATGAGGCAGCAAGCGCCTCAGTGAAACCCACTCCTGGGAAAAGGCAGGGGTTCCTGTACTCAATTTTCCCTTCACTTGGGATAAACAGGCAATTACCCATCCCTTTTTCCTATGCCATGGCCGTCCGGTGAACTTAAGCATACACTATTAGTGTGTGTCCCTGTAGGACCTGCGCTGTGGGGTGTGGAGGTGGTAAGTGAGTGGCGGGTTGAAGAAATGGGTAAGGCGGTTGTTAAATGACTGCGCTCTGACAGACAAAGAGAACAAAAAAGCATAAGAGAGAAATAGAACTAAATTACCAGCGGCCCTGAATAAGAATAAGCACACATAGATAGTGAATAGATTAATTGAATCCAACTAAATTGAATGGGTCAAATTGAATTGTTCAGAGCACACAGTCTTTTCTCTTCTTTTTCTCTTTCTGTCAGTGTCACAGTCTTGTCAGCAACCTTGGAGTCTGGCAGTGTAACGAAGTGACAAGTGAGTTATTAGACAGAAGAAGCTGGAATGGCAGGGACGCCTCCAGGTAACGGAGAAGCAGCACATTTTTAATGATCGTTGCTGTCATCCTCTTCCTCCCTAGTCAGCCTTCCACCTCCGCAACCTTTCCATCAGCCTCAGCTCTCTTTCTCGCTGTCTTTATCTCTGAGAAGAGGGGACTGGAAACTGTATGTGTCATATAGATGGAGTCTTAAAAAAAGCATGAAATATCTCGTCAGAATAGGTCATGTCTATATTGTAAAAATGGCTTAAGTATGAAACAAGTGGAACTCAACACTGTTATGGATGTAAGGTGAATACTGTACAGCCCACCGTATAACACTGCATATTTCCCCCTCTGTGTGTAGCACCAGTCAAGTAAGAGAAGATCTTGTATAGTGACACATGGCATCGCTAATACACTGATAAACAAACTGAGGAACAATCTCTATTTTTTTGTCTTTTTACAAAAAATATTCTTTAAACCAACAAAAAAAATCTCCATGAAGGTACATGACCAACCAATAAATACCCCTTCCCTTGGCTACTTTGCCCAGTTACTGGAAACAATTTGTACCGTAAGACAGTCATGGACATGTTAAAAATGGCAACATTTTTCATAGAGTACATTTGTAGCCGACACTCAGCAATGGAAACCGATACCGAAAATATCACAGCAAAAGATTTTAAGACTCAAGTGCATCATATTAATCCAAAGGGGCATGATTTAAGTACACACTCTCACACTGAAAGAGCTCTTCTTAAGCAATCACTTTTGTTTTGGTCACAGTTGAATGACTATTTTCCTCTTTTTTCTTCAACTCTATGGGACAGTCATATTTCACTAAGATGCCTTTTGTAAAAACAAACGTAAGTTCTTGCATTGATAACTTTGTTGGAGAATGTCACAATAATGTCATGCTTTATACACAGTTACACCTCTGAAGTCATTATTGTGACCATTACTGGCAACCATACACACATTGAAACAGAGAGGAGAGACTTTATCAATATTTAACTTTGTGTTTGTGGATCAGCAGTTTATAGTCATTCACGCTTGGATTTGTTTTGAGGCAAGGTACTTCGGAGACGCTCTGAATTAGTTTTTTTTTTAGCAATGGGGGAAGATTTTGTTCAAGGAGACAAGTTGTTTTCTGTTGTGAAACTGTGTTTGAGCACGTGCAAAAAGAAACTGGCACATTACGTTAAAGGTATTATTTACCTTGGCACTGTAGCCATCAATGACCCCGAACAACACCTAAACTCACCATTGCAAAAGTCCTCATTATAATAATATTACACATCCCCTTGTATAGATGCAAAGTGCAAAAACTGAATTGGTATACTAAAGCTCATAAACAAAACAGACAAAATAAAAAAACAAAATAAAACAATAGAAATACAGAGAATGATATCAGTGTAGGAGCCAAAAAAAGCATGCCGGCAACCTCTGAATATCTAACAAGTAGATAAAACAAGTCACATGATATTCTTTTTTTCCTAGGACTCAGTTAAAACGTGTCGTTGAAGCTAACATAAATGAGTCAAGCTAGTAAGATGCTACCTCTTTCTTGCCTAAAGCTGGAAGTATTGTACTGGACTGTAACATAAAACCATAACGAGAGAGAAAAAAGAAGCAAACAACCATCAACACAACTCTTTACACCAAAAGCCTCTTGGGACATTATTTACAAATGAAGCTGTCATGCTTTTGTAAGGGGGTTCATTTAAAAGCTATCATTACACAAATACAACAAGAAGATTTTCTTTTTTTTCAATACTATCATTTCTGCAGGCAAAGTCACAAATAAGAGTTTGAATAGATTCTTTGGAGACGGACAAAAAAGTTGGGAGGAGTCTCAAATGAAAGATGGAGGGGCTTATGAATAAAAACACAAGTGGAGTTTTGTTATAAAGCAAACTCCATGCGCGAGAGCGTCATCCTGTTCTTCCAAAGAAGGAAAAGTCAAAGGTCACGATAATAAACTGTATTTAGAGTCGATGCATTTTTATAGAGGGACATAGAAATGTCTTTCAATGACTGAATGACGGGCAGGAGGCATACAGGCATTTAGCCTGTACTTGAAGGCCCTGGGTTGGGATTAAGAGCTAATTTGAGGAGGAATAAGGATGAGGAATGAAGGGAGGAGCGGGCCGACTGACAGCGGGGTCAAGTAGCAAGTCATTATTTAGTCTGTTATCGAGGAGAAGGGCATGTTTTTATGGAGGTTGGGGTTCTGAGAGTGTCGGTTACGGCTGCGCACAGAGCTGAACACCATGTTGCAACCGGGGATTTTGCACTTATGCATCTCGCGCAGGTGCACAGTCTTGTAGTGCACACGCAGGGTTCCTTTGTTGCTGTACATTTTATGGCAGATGTTGCAGAGGATCCCTCCGCTGCCACCGTGACTGCCACCGTGACTGCCCCCGTGACTGCCCCCGTGACTGCCCCCATGACTGCCCCCGTGACTGCCCCCGCTGGACGAAAAGAGGAATGGTGAGGAAGTCGGTTCCAACCCCTCACCTTGTCCTTCTCCTCTTAGTTCTCCAGTCTCGTCCAGATGCCTTCCTTCAGCCCGCCCCTCTGCATGCTGGGAGCAGTCCTCCCCCTCACTGTTGCCCTCCTCCTCATCCTCTACCCCCTCCTCCTCTACCCCCTCCTCCTCCTCCTCCTCCAGGTCATCCAATAGGATGCCTTCATCGCTGCCCTCGTCTGACTCATGTGAGGAGTGGACACTGCTGCTGGACTGAACGCTGGATGTGGTGCTCAGGTCCAACACCATGTAGTCGTCTGGCTGGCCCCGGGAGAAGCCGTTGCTGTGGTGATTTTTCAGGTTATGGTTGAGAGTGTGGTGGGGATACCCGCTGCTCATCAGGGAACGGGCAGTGTGGTTAAGGCCAATGGGCCGAAGGCTGCCGCCTCCGATGCCCATCCCGGCATACGGGTCCATGCCCATGTGGTGCCCGGCGTAGATCTTAGCCAGAAACTCGGCGCGCAGGTCCTTGGGCAGTGGCGGGTGTTGGGGGTCCAGGACAATGTCGTCCAGCTCTTTGGTCAGCAGTTTGCGGTGCAGGTTGATGTTGGAGCTGTGCCTGTGGGGAGACAGTCAGAGTTGTACATCAGAAGGCTGCATGTGTACAGTATAGGGAATGTAAATAACAAATAATAATATCAAACACAAAACAGCAAGTGTTGAAACATGTATTTGCACTTAATTTACTATGATAATGTCAACTGTTCTTGCTTCTGTGAAATGCTAACAAATATTCAAATATTTAGGGACCATTTGTAGTTATTGTTACTTCCAGTCAAGGCACACAGAAACTTATCCTGAGGAAAAGGCTTTAAGAACACAGAGAGAGAGAGAGAGCATCCTGCAAGTGTTTACCACTGTCAGCATGTCTGCACTGCACAGCCCTCAAATCCAATAGACTCTGACTCAATTAAATACTCCACCATATTGAATGGGAGTTTATCAATTGATTCGAGCTGTGGTAATGTGATAATCGAGGGGAACTGGATAGCATATTAGCACTAGGCCCTGACAGCATTATTGCATTCGTTCCCTATTGGAGGTGGCTTAATCGAGCACCTCAATGAACATGTCTTTATGTAGCCCTGGATTTAATTAAGATGGGCATTTTTTCCCATACACAAGAACTGTATCGCACAGTGTGCTACAGCTGATGAAAGAAACCAAGTAACAAGTGCCATGCTTTAAGCCAATAGACAATTAGTTAGGATTTCAGTTAGCAAACAAAAGCCATGCAACAGGATGCAAGGTGAAACACCAAATTAAATGCTTTTACGCTCCAATTTCACAGATGCCAAGACGGACTAAGAAAACAGGGACCCACTGCACACATTTCACAATAATACTGCATAACACAGAACAAAAACTTAAGCAACTATTGACCGGTGTCACAGAAAGCCCACCCCTCTTATATACGTATACATCAAATAAGAACAAATATGCAAATGCCTTTTAATGTGAGGGGTTTCCATGCAGGGGGTTCAGTGTAAAAAAACGTGAAAAAGAAAAGGTTCATCCTGAGCAGGAAGGGCAAAAATGGAGTCACAATGGATAGTAGAGCTTACCAGCAGTGGCAGGGTTGATGCAGTCAAAAAGGGTCCCTTTCCTTTAATTATTTACTTCCCTATCCGACATTGTCCTGAAAGAGGTAAAAATACATTCATTTGAGGGACCCTTTTCTGTGAACCAGGCAACCAGGAGCCCGTCCACTCAAGCATCGTCAGCATTGGGGAGAGAGAGCGTGGCAAATCGATTGGCCGTGGCTGTCACGGCATGTGTGTGTGCTTTTGTCTGTTTGTGTGTACGTGTGAAAAACAGAAAATTTACTACGTCCATATAGCTGGACTTCGATCAAAAAGACTATATAAATCCTTTGTTCTTTTTTATCCTTTGATAGTACAGTTGCACCCATATGGTGTTAGCTTATGGCCAAAATATGGGAGTCATGATTCAAAGTTTGTGGCGCAGTATGCTTGTCAAGTCGAACACATGTGTGGACGCTTGGCTGTGAGAGGTCAGAGTGCTTTAAAACAGTCTGAAATATGCCGTGATCAGTGTTGAGGGATATGTGCACAATTTCTGCAGGGATACCAAACAGGCATTGATGTGAAGTGGGGCTGCAGATTTGCTCAGTTAATACTGAAGCTCGGGATGCTGTTGATGATGCTCAGGTAGGCAGGTCCTTTGCAACATGTCTCCATCTCTTTAACAACACCTTCTCACTGCTAATAAGCTCTAAGTTAAACCATGGCTATCTCAGTTTTAGATATTAATGTCAAACATGCTAAATATCATGCAGTAAGTAGTCTGCGCTATAGCTACAGTAGCCATTTTAAATACTCAGAAATGCACACCACATTGTTAGAATTGCACAATATCCAAATAACAAATATTCACATTTAGTACAATCTTTTAACCTACTATACAGATATAGGAAGAAAAACAAAATGGAAGAAAAAGGCACTTTATGATATACAATTTGTAACCATTTGGAAATAATGTAATCTCAGGAGAGAAAGAGTGGAGTTTATGATCATTTGCATAAACATGATTATTAACTTTTGAGTTGGCAATGCCTCCATGCCCTAAATAGTAAGAATAAGTCAGCTAAATCCACACACAGTGGGCATAATGCACTTATCCCTTCATTTATCAGATTTAGACTTTCTGCCCCATTTCCCACACCCCTCCGCCTCCATCACTCCACTTCAGTACGCTCTATCTTTCCTCCCCCAAACCCAACTCCTTAGTGCCCCCCCCTTCCTCCCTCTCTGCCTCCCTGTTGGCCAGTAATGTGGCTGGCAAACCAATTTGACAGTCTCATCTTTGCCCAAAAGATGGGGGAGGCCTCCAGAGAGCCCATTTCTGACTGTGCAGAGGAGGAAGAGCGAGAGTGTGCCTGTCCCAGCCGGCGTTAATCATCTTTAGGTTCATCTGATGGCCCTTGCCCTTGTTGTTGTGTCAGTGTGTGTGTGTGTGTGTGTGTGTTGTGTAAATGAGATGGAAGGCTGAGCGGTGTTAAGCTGACGTTCTTTGTCTTTCCTGTCATTTTGGTTGTGTTATGAGGTTTTAGGTGTGAGTGGGAGGACAAGAGTTTAGGAACATTTATCACTCTGTCACTATTGTGTCTGCTTTGCATTGCTTCAGTCTGTACAACACCCTAGGCTTCAAACAATGGTTTGAGGGCTCCCAAAGAAAATTAAATATACATTAATAATCATGAAAAATATGTTCATGTACTCGAATTCAATTGATGACAGCCTGCTGACATGGGCGCATATATATTTTTTATCTAAGAATAAAACAAATCCTCTTGTTCTTTTAAAAAAATATCATAAGGAAACTTTTGTTTAAAGGCATGCAATCTTTTTTTCCGCCCGTATTTTAATCAGCAGATATTTTTGATCTGGGGTGAGTGGCTTTTGCTAACATATTCTCTCTATGAGCAGCATGCCCTTTGTTTATAAGAGACAAACAGAGAGCTAATTGTGAAGCAGCGGAGCCGCGACCACATGCCGTGAGGGGACCGAGGGAGAGGGAGGGAGACAGAGAGAGGAAGGAGAGGGGAGGAAAGAGACTCTCCAACATAATTAACCTTCACTCTCTCCGTTTGCAGTGGACCGTGGGCTGCGCGCGGCTGCACCGCGGGAATGTACAAGAGAGAGGACACCTACTTTCTCTAGCGAAAGAGGAAGAAAATGTTGGTAGGTCAGAAAAGGAAGCAGGATGGGCTGATAAAAACGAAATAAATAAGACGAGCCTTGTCAACGGTTTACAAAAATATGATTAATGATGCCAATAATGGTGATGATTACTTGTACGCGCGTCTTTCCAGCCGTTAATCATGCTGCTTCTTCACTTCTGCCGACGCTGCTCGCTCCCTACAATAAATATGCAATCATTTACCTCCGTGCAGCATGCGGCCAGGAGGCTTGGAGAAAAACACCCCACTGTAAAACTACACACACACACACACTCCGATGTTGGCCTCTGTTTTACACTCAAAAACACACACATTACATGCCTGCTCAAGGGCACACTAAATTATCCTTTCCCCGCATTCCTGAGTACAGTATGAATGTGCACTAATGTTTGTGTGTGTAATTCTCCAGTCTTATTAATAGGGCAGGGATCCAAAGTGAACAAACACTAGCGGTACTTTCCTCCGTGGCAGCACGTTTACAGTGTGTCCTACTCTGACAATGTCATTGGTTGTTTTTCTAAGAAGATCAAATGACCTCTCTTCCTTTTTCTTTCTTCCCTTTGATACTGGAGCTTTTGATGCTTGTGTCTGACTGTGTGTTTACGTGCCTTTGGCTTTTCACTCGGTCAATGGACTAATCAGATATGCAGAGGTACTTGGACTTTTCTTTAGCTGGGTGTTGACAGCTGTGTTTCTGGGGGTGGTAAGACGGCAGGGCTGCATATTATGATTCAGCTTTAGCATATATATCGTTCAGCTGCAAAAACACACGACCACTCGTTTACTTTCCTCGTGTAAAAAAAAATGCTGTGGCTATTTTTCTAATGTTTTTAAAAATGTAACCTCAGTATTTTGTTTCTGAAGCACCAGGCACATTATGTATTAATAATTTCTGCTAACACTGTTCACAAAACAATCAAATCAGGGTAAATCCTGTATTCTGATTTTACTTAAATGCAAGAATAAACATGTTTTTATGCAAATATTGATGTTTATGCAATTTGCTCTGAGAAAATTCTCATTTGATATACAGCGTAATTAATTATATTCCCACTTTAATGCCACCATTACACTCTTACACTATATCATTAGAGGATTATCCAGGGACCAATTTTGATGAGAGCCCAGTTTGTGTATTTACTCGTCAAAGCCCCAGGATTCCTATAGTTATGTAATTCCCCTTCTTTCTGTTGTTTCTGCTCCCTGTTTGAACCAGCAGCAAAGTAATTTGTCCCATATGCCATCAGGAATGTATCCCTCACAGAAAACGTATGAAAACAATAGTGTGCTTAGGACTCGCCTACCCAGAGCAATACTATTCTCCCCCTGGCTCAAAGACGCATTATTCTCACAGCAGCAATTGTCCCTCCTTGCTACAAAGTTATCTCTATCTCCCATATGTTCTGCCACTTTATTAGTTTGAGTGTTATTTACATGCTGAAATGATGGAGTCAAATTGTCACACACACACCAGGGGCTGACACAGGAAGAGAGCGAGTAGAAAGAGTGTTGAGGTGTTTTCTATCTGCTGTATTGTTTAATCTTTGAACCCTCTTTGCCTGACTAACACACTTCCATCCTTTGATATCAAATGCCTGGCTGCATATTTATGAAAATAAACCTCCAAACCATCTTTTCCCCTTTTTCTTTTCTAGCTATTATACTTCACTTATTTCTGTTGTTGCCTCATTTAGTTCAGTGAAGTTTCCCTTTGCCATTGTTAGTTCATGACAGTATGAATAGACTAAATTGACAAACAAACTCGAGCAGTGGGATAATAATTAACAGTATCCACCTTGGCATTAATAAAAACCGGCACAATATCTGATTAAGAATTGTACTTTTTCCAAACTGTTAAAGTTACCTATACATATACTATGGATCTCTCTTCTTGCTATTTAATAGTTCAGATAAGGGACTTAATTGTATATATCTATCAAGTGTTGTACAGCATTAAGAGAGTAATTACAAAGAGATAAGGTGTAAAGAAGAGCAAATCGTTTTCTCTGTTATCTGTGTGTGTGTGTGTTTGCATCCGTGTGTGTGGATGTATATGTTGCACAACAGGCCTTAGGCTTTCTCTTTCCCTATAGCCTTGTCAAATGAGGGGAGCTAACACACTCTCCGGTGGCTGTACACCGCTCTGACGCAATACTTTTTATAATATTATTGCTGCTGTCGGCACTGCTGCTTCAGGTGAGCAGCAGGGTTCACCTTCTCCAAAGCTAACCCCATTCCTCTCCCTCATCCACTTAACTAGAGTCACAGAACCACCTGCTCCATATCCATGCTGCTAATGAACAAACAGTTGTAGGAACAGATGTCACCAAAACAACAACATTAATAAAAGGTTCAGAAACCAAGTAGCGCATTTGGGTGTAGGGAGTCAGCAGTGGTGGAGGAAGAGAAGATGAGGGGCAAGAAAAACACTGAGGAGAATTATAAAGCTCCCTCTGGAACGATTTGTTTCCCAATTGGAATTATTCCCCCGTATTTAAATAAAAGTATTTGTCACAGAAGTGAAATCCTTTTGTATATTTTCTATCTCCATTAAGTAACAGAATGAGTAAGGTTGTTATGTACAACGGCTTCTATTAAATTTTTCGAGAGTGGGAGCATGAGAGGTGTTACGCTTGTTAGAAGTGCTGTGAGAGTTCGGAGAATTTAAGATTTGTATCAAATGTCCCTGCTTGTTATTTACATGACTGGCAAGGGAATATGATTTTCACTTAACCTGAAATATGATTTCACACCCAGCTGTTATTTTAATATTTATTTATCTGTTAACAGTCATTTTTTTTTACAAAGGATTAGAAAAGGTCTGCCCATTGAACATGTGCTTGCCCAGGGCACTAGTGAGGGTTGTGTACCTCCAGCATATGTTATGGCATCAACCTGCTGCCACTGCTGCTACAGTATATTCTGCAGAGTGAGTGTGTGGGAATGATATGTGCTAACAAGCCCAGGTGAGTATGGCTGGCCTCACCTCCTAATGTGCTAATACATGCAGTGGTTTGACAAACCGCTGTCTATGTTAATATATGCGCCTTCACCTTCCTATCACAAGGTGAGGTAGAGAGGGCAGGTAAACAACACACTGCAGCTGCAGGGTGGATGTGTACAGCCTAGTTCTTGTGTGTGCATTTTGATGTATGTGTGTAAGTGTGTTTGTTTCTCATACTGACACCCTACTCTTCTGAATCTGACTTGTCAAAGAGCAGATGCCCCTTATTCAATTTGTTTTAGTTAAATTAGCTAACAGATGTTAAGTGATAGTCTGTCTGGGTAAATGTCGTAGGTTGATGAAATAGTGCATATAAATCTTGTTTTATTACCATTAAAATAAAAAAGGAATATCTCTCACCAAAATGCTGAAATCTATTGAACTATGTTTTAACTTGTCTTTTATAAAAACACTATGTAGTTCCAAAATAAACCCAAACAATTCCTTATATTTATGAAGTGCCTTAAATAATAATCAATGATGAATAGTGATTTAAGGATTTCTATTGAACCTACCTGCAACTGTCACAATTACATTACATTTAAATGGGTAGAGCACCAAGATCTAGCACTAACCTGTCTCGGCTCCGCCGTGAAGGGAAAGCAGCGTTGCAGCCAGTGACAGTGCACACATGCATCTCTTTGAGGTGCACATTCTTGTAGTGCAGTTTCATGCTGTAGGAACTCTTGAAGGTCTTCTTACACACATAGCAGATCTTGGGGTCAGGACTTGAGCATGGGTCTTCCTCTGGTGATTGAGAAGAAGGGAATTTGGGTGGGCTGGCACCGTAGCCCATCGAAGAGATGAAGCTCTCATGCAGAGCGGCCATGCTTGCAGCAGCAGCAGCCGCTGCCATGCCTCCGTTATAGAGGCCGTACTGGCCCATGCAGAACATGTCGTATGTAGGATCGTTGAGTTCTTCCTTGATCCTCATAGGGGGCTGAGGAGGTGAGGGTGAGGAATGACCCTTGCTTTCCATTTCCTTTCTCAATTGGGCTTCCTCACTGCCCTCATCATCGTGATCCTTCTCCAGACACCGTCCACCCCTGCTTTGTTTTTGCTGGTCCTCCACATCTATCGGTTCGTCACGATAGAACATTTTAGAATCAGAAGTTTCAGATTCGTTCTCAAAGTCTCTTTCATGGTCTTGGTCCTCAGAGGTGAAGCTGCCCATACAACGTAGCTCGCCCTGAAGATCATTTCCACCTCTGCTGTCACTACCTGTACCTTCCCGGCATTCATCTTCACTCTGTTTCATCATGCCTCTCAGGCCGGGGCTCATCTCATCTTGGGAAGGAGATTGTTGCCCACTACCACCACTGTGGTTCCCAGTACCACTACCACTGTTATTGTTGCTATTACAGTTACCATTCATTTTGAGATTGTTGTGAAGAAGGGATGAATGATGGTGGTGATTATGGTGGATGTCATCGTCATCATCATCTTTATCATCATAGTCATCCGCCACATCAATCACTTCTTTCTCAATCTTTACTGGCATGCTCGATTTACGAGGCTTCTTTTTGGGTGTTGGGTCACTGCTACTAGTGGTGAGGTCATGATTGGCATGGTGTATATTAAAACGATGGGACAGGGATCCTGCATCTGACATATGAACATTATTGTGTGAAGCCGCTGCTGCAGCAACAGCCAGGAGATGCTGTTGTTGGTCCATCAGAGTGGTACTGTTGGTGGTTGTAGGTAGGATTGGGCTGGTCGGCAGTGACACTTGAGGACTGACAAGGTCCGCAGGGGAAAGTAGTGTGCGATAGAATGGGGGCACTGGCTGGACAGGATGAACTGACTTCAGGGAAGGGAAGACCAGTGGGCTGTGCAGGGGTGACTGAAGCATAGTGTCTACAGGTGGAGTAGTGAAACCCAGTGGTGGCCTTCCAGGGCTGGTAAGTGAGAAGCCACCATTCTTGGTGCTTGAGATGACAGGTGTACCAGAGGTTGAGCGGATGAGGTCCTTGTCACGGTTGTTGCGCAGCATTGGCATGTGCAGCCGTGGATTGGGATTGGCACTGTGTCTGTTGCGGCTGCGTAAGGAGCTGAAGACCATATTGCAACCTTCAATGGTGCAACGGTGTTTGATCTTCAGGTGCACAGCATTATAATGTATCTTAAGGGTGCCTTTGTCATAAAAGGTCTTACCACAAGAATTGCAACAGACACGTCCCTTGCGTGAAGTTGATCCCATGCGCCGCATGCGATGCATCTTGGAAGAAAAGGAGCCATGGGTGATGGATCTTGACTGCTCATCCTTTATAAAGCGGTGGTGGACTTGGTGGTCATTCAAACTGTTTTGCTGAGGTTGATTTTGGGACTGCTGTTGGCCATGCTGCTGCTGTTGGTGCTGTGACTGCTGCTGTTGAGCGTGATGCGTGGAAGGGGTCGGGGAGATGGGTGATGCCCTGTTACTGGGCTCTGTCTTGGGTTCAATGTTGTTAATGCCTCCAAGGGCTCCACGGCTAGGGCTCTGGCCTGAGCGGAAGGGTGAAAGGGACACTTCTGACTCACTGGTCTCCACCTGTTCAACTTGGTTTGGCAAGCTGGGCTCCCGGAGCCGGAGAGCCGACTGCTCCATAGGGTGTCCATTAGGGGGCAAGCCGAGCATGGGTGCAGAGACTGGGTTGATATATTGGAAGGGCAGGAGGAAGGCTAAGCTGTTGGGGATATTCTCAAAATGGTGAATGCTTGTTGGGCTACTGCTATCCAGTTGTGTAACGATCCCTGGACTGCGGGATCTGTTGTTGCTTTCAATGAACGTCCTAATACCAGAGTCTGTCTTGGAGGAGGGAACTGTAACTGCCTGACCTTCCTTCTCCTGAATGGCCATCAACTCCACTATGGATTTGGTCTCACCAAAGCGCAGAAACTGCTGCAGGGTGATGATCTCCTCTTCTCGGGACATGATGGACCAGCGGTCCAGCACCTTGCCTGCAGCATCCTAGATGCCCCAGAAGAGACAAGAGAGAAGACAAAAATACAAACCATTATTGATTGTGCATAATCAGTGCGGTCAAAGGAGAAGATGGAGCAGGGGTTAGTTTGTAAGGGCGAGCTTTTTTGCTCATGAAATTCAGAGGCTCCTCGAGCAACCAGTAACTTGCAGAGCTTTGTCGAAAATAATTTATTTTTTCAAATCAATCCTGTGAATGTGATAATTAATTACACAGCAAATACAGTAGGCAAGAGTTTAATTGAGTCTAAAGCAAACAAATCAAATGCACTGAGGTTCTGTGATTAGCAGGTCTCTGCGCCTTCTAACATTGCGGGGATGTTAAGCTGTGAGACTGTCAAAAACAGCTTTGTAAAAGATGTGAACTCTTGCTGGGAGTCCCTCTGTACACAAAGTGTTCCTTGGAATATTTACAAAATTGTGTGAGCAAGAAAGGAAATGGAAAAAAGAATAGTTTAATTAATGCAAGCCACTAATCACACCGTCGTTGGCAATCATTTTTCAAATTGTATAAGGCTGCATGAAAAGGCTTTGGACATTCATAGAGAACATTTGTATTGTGGTAAAGCTACATAGGTTTAGTCTAAGAATGACTGAACCAGTTATTTGTCCCTGTTTTTAACCACTGATGACAGAACATTACAAAATGATCTCTTACAGTAACTGCTGCCACTGCTGTTTTTTACGAGATGGTATAATATAAGTGTTTGTGTGGAAGAGCGAGGCAATGGGACATTGTGTAAATACTTCACACACAGGTTCCTGAGGGATCTTGCGCAAGTGACATCAAGGGAATAACGCAAGCGATGACAATTAGTCACAGTGAAATGGTAACATTTCAAATGTGCTCCTAGCTGCTGGCATCTATAAAAGATAAATGGCAACTCTGGTGAGTAAAAAGCTGTAAAAACCAACATCACAAAGCACAAAGGGCCTGTAAGGAGAAAACAGAAGATAAATGTTTAAAGAGAGGCAGCGAAAGAGAGATAGTACGGGAGAGACACAGAGTAAGAAAAGCAGAAAAAACTGAGAAAATAAAAGTGTGAGTGGTTTCATATCATGCCCTCAGATATACTGGAGAAATAGATTCTTCTGAGACGAAACATCAATAGTCACTGGGGTATTTGTTGTTAAATATACATTAAAAAACATTTTACACTTTCATTCTGTGTGCGCTCTGGAGTTTTTTTGCCTGGAGGTATGACTTTAAATTCTAGCCTGGGCACCATTATTTCATACTGCATGGCCATCTGGGCATTAGTACTTCCATTTGATTTAATTGAAACAAAAAAATGAAAGCAGCTTAGAAAGTGAATCTTGAAATAGTTCCACAACCAGAACATTTCTTAAGAAATTGTAGTTCTTAGATGTGGAGCAGTCATGTAATAATGACAAAAAAAAGCACACCACAGCCTAATTGATTAGAAGCATGAACAATTCTGAATGAATGTAATTGTATTATCTTAATGTGTGCCTTTTATATAATAAGCAATACATAGCAATATACAGTACAGTAGATGACTTGTATCTGGGATTATTGGTAGGCCACATTGAAGTAAATTAAAGCCATTTTAAAACACCTTAATATCCATTTCCTAACTACCTCACTTTGTTGATGCAGTTCTAATTGAGATTTTTCATATTAACTAAAAAAAGGATGACATGTCATAATGTTTGCATTATGAATGCTAAAGATTTGTTCAAACTGAGGTTTCATTATATTCTTTGTTGTTTCTTTTTACACATCCTCAAGATTGCTTGACCAAAGTCATTCTATAAACACATGTTGTTAACTGGCCCCGTCTCAATCACTGACTATCTTAAACAGCGTTCAGACATTTATTTGATCATCTAGTCTTACCCTGTGCCTCCACTTCCCTACTCATCCAACTAAATCCAAAACACAGTGACACAGGCCAAACTGCCTGCCATTAGTGTTAGGAAGGTCCCGCCAGCTGTCAGAACATGTCAGCATTTCTGCTATGCACCAGACTTTGTCTAAGAGGAGGCTATCCAAGCACTCCTTGTTCACTGCTCAATTGAGTTTTGAAGGCCAGTCAACAAGAGTTAGGGTCGCGCATGGAGCAAAAAGTCAACACAAATTAAAAAATACTCCACAAACACATGTGAAGGGTAGAACTTTGTAAAAGCTCAGTCCATGTAAAAACAACCTCAGTTTCTTTAACCCATGCAGTACTTCATATATAGCAACTATGTTTAGAAATGTATCACTTTCTATGCATGTTTTGTAATTTAACAAGTTTCTACAGTATGTGTCGACACACTTTTGCAGACAAACACCCTGTAGTCCTTACTACAGTAAGTCTCACAACTCCACTCCCCTGCATTAGCCCTGTGATGCTGTGAGAGAAACAAATATGCCATTAGAAGCACTTTTACAAGTAGGCACTCATCTTCCAATTAGCTTAATGTGGCCCTCTTTCCCCTATATTTTCCAGGCGTGCCCCACCTCTTCTTGTACACTCCCTTCAGTAAAATCTCATTAATCCACCCCTCCCCCATCTCCCCCAGTGCTATGACATATTAGTCTGTCATTATGCATCCAAGAGTCCTTTAAACAATACAGCTAAACCTCTGTTTGCCAGGTTAATGACTATTAGCCAATAATTACAGCAGAGAGACGATGGAGTACCCACTTTATCTGGTGGACAGCTTGCTGCTGTTAGTTTATTTTATCTTCCTGCATCCATGTCTCTCAGAATTAATCTAGCAACGGCTGTATTTATTCATCTCTCTGCCGCTGCTATGCATTCTTAATTCATGGTCGTCTCTAACAGTGCTGCTGGATGTTGTGAAGTGGGTGTGTAGTGGGGTGTTCACCTTGCAAATTGCTGACAATGAGGATGAGCAAATGATGGCCTTGTCATGGGCCAAGGCACCACTGTCAGTTAAAACAAATCAGGCAATTATGCAATTAGAAGGTTATGTGCTGGGCTGTATTAAGAGCCAGGGTGTGCAGCATTGTTAGGTTGCTTGGTGTGCATTAGGGATTAACAGCTTAACATGTATATGCTTTTCACTAATCATCACCTATCATACTCAATGAATGAGTGTATTTAGAAAGCAGTGGAGAGAGATGCCGTGCTTGGCACTTAAAAAAAGGAAAATGTTGGCTATAAATACGTCTTACTGACCTGTGATTATACAGTAGATCAAGTGAGATATCTAACCTTAATAGAGCTTGTGTGATATCCTGTCTCTGATATTTACATATTCATGGTAACATATGCACAATCTGTGTAGGATTTTGATTCACTGGTTCGACATCAACATGATGGCACCTGAACTGTCATAAGACAGTATCACTTGCAGTAGGATGGATCAGTTCTCACAATGGCAAAGTGAACCATGGGAACCACATTGATTCACCAATCACCTTTCAGAGAATGCGATCCCCACCAAGCCTCGAGGGAATCCCCATTGATCCCCAGTCCGGCTTTCAGATCCAGTTCCTTCAAAAAACTGCTCTATCCCTGTGTTCGCCACTTCAAGGGAGGTTAAGCAGAAGTTCCTTGTGATCTGAGAAGGTCTTGAACTTTGGTGCTTCCTTTTCCATATTCTGTTTCTCTCCCCACCCCACGTCGGGCTTTATGAATAATGCAGAGCATCTAGTGGCGAGGGGTGCCATGGGGGGTGGGTTCACGCAAAGCCCACTGCCTGGAGCCATCACATCAGAGGGCAACAGCTCCCAAGACACAGGCTGCTCCCCCATTGGCTCCACAGCGGCGGGTCAGAGGTCATGTGTGAACAACTAGCTCTACTTCTTCCCCTGTGATGGACCACAGGGAAATCAGTGGCTTCGTCCAGATGTGGGTGGAGGACATTTGTAAGAATCATAGAGGTTGTAATGTACACTCTGTGATCACGTTAAATTCCTCTTTTATGCTCTGCACATCAAAAGCATTTGTTTCTTTTAGATGTGACCTTGTGTATCCACCTTAGAGGCTTCATGTTGTCTAAACTGTGGAAACATTGACTTATATGGTGTATTTATAGCAAGATGAACATGTACTGTTCATTGGCTTTCTGCTGACGTACAAGAAGACATTCATATATAATTAACATGTCATCCTATCATCAAAGACAGAGTGGATTCCCTTTGGAGAAATGTGTTGAATTATGTCACATTGTGGTTGCTAATTACAGGGACAGGCAATCACAAAGGAAGCCACCACTTAATAAACTTAACCTTTATTAAAAATATATAAAATATTCTGTTAACTTCCTGCATTCTCTCTCTTGTGAGTTTTTCTGTAAAGAATAGAATACTAATGTCATCTTGAATGTCTGCAGGCGGCCTTGATCCCTTTCTGAATGTCGTCTGCTTTTAATATTTGACCATTTGCAGTTGCAATGTGTTCGGGTAATTAGATACATCAGATCACTGCTAGACAGCAACCTCTGGTCAAACTCATATTCCTGAATCAAACCGTTCTCTTTAACTTCTATTATTTATTAACATTTAATGACTTGTTTTACATGCTGCTGCAATGAAAAAAAGTTCCCAATTTGGGATAGGTAATGTGTATCTTTTATCTTTTAATAGCAAGGCAAAGGTCTTGGTCAATGTTATTCTCATTACTGCCAGAAAGAAGAGTTTCCTGGGCTCTGGTGTGAGTAAATGTGAAGAGGCCACAGGGTTTCTTTCACCGTGCCAGACACTGATCAACCAACAGCTAGATATCCTGTCCCTCTCTACCTGATTTAACTCATGGCTTTGGTTAACATTTCATGACTTTGTGTTAGTTGTTGCTAGGGGCATAGTAATCGACTGGAGTGAGATTTATAGTGCAGTTGCCGACTGTGAGGATCAGGAGAGGGATTGGGGGGGGGAGTTATTATAGAGGACTTTACCATGGGTGAGTCACAATCTGGCACATCCCTGGTTCCAGGTGGGCTTTGGTAAACAGTTTCCGTTTATTTTTCCCACTGACTTGTCTTTTTTCATTATCTATTTCTGAAAACAA